CTCATTTTCCATTTTCTTTTCCATTTGATCCTCCATTATAGTAGGTACCCCTAATTTTGGGAAACCCTAAACCCTAAATAGTAGCTTCCATTTTATTTTCCATTATCCCAATATAATCCCTATATTAAACTCACATTAAATAGGGGCCCAGACTTCTAACCTTAAACCTTAAACCCTAAACCCTAAACCTTAGAGAGGTTCTGGAGCACATATTACAACGAGCTCAAAGCGATGGACCGCATTGCGAAGTTCATGGTCAGCTACGAGCGGCATGGTCGGATTTAGGGCAGTTTACTTGTTCTAGCAATTTAGGGCATTTGAGGGGTTTTAGAACCTGTAGGGTGTGGGGTATTTGATGCTAGGTGCCCTATTATGCCTTGTTGGTTTGACGGGTTTCAGGTTTTTTGCTTGGTGTAGTATACAAACCCTGTTTATCTACCGGGTAATTTCCCTAAATAGGGGGAACCCATTTTAGACACACTTTCATTATGATCCTTACTATGGGCACCTGGAAACAGGGTACCCCTACTTCTGGAAAACCCAAATCCCCATAAACCCCTACATACACCCAGTTTGCATTTCATTTTCCATTTTCATTTTCCATTCGAAGAAGAATTATAGGCGGTGATATACCCCTAATTTTGGGAAACCCCCTTACATCCCTAAAAAAACCTATAGAATCCCTATATTCCCTATAGCTTCCAGTTTCTTTTCCAATATCCTGCGGGCTGATATACGCCCAATTTTGGGAAACCCCCATGTTTTGGCGGCTTCAAGCGCAACCCAGGCATATCCTTTTCTACCCGCAGCCTGCCTGCAAGAAAGTGTCGTGGGTTGATCTTCTGTGAGCTGCTGTCTAACCGTCTTGAAGGGGGGGAGTATATAGAGGATTTTGTAGAGGACTATCATACGGGCTATGAAGGAGGATACTGGGAGTTTAGAGTATGGCTCATGTTGCCGTGAGAGCTTGATGCGCTCTAGCCCCCCTTAGGTAACCGCTTTTTGGCTATCCTAGACCCTAACTAAACTGAAAACGCACTTAAAGTTCATGTTCGGCATGTGTCATGGAAAGCTGCGAGCAGGAATTCCATTTTTCCTGTTTTCGTGCATAGTTGTGATGGCTCCTTGCACGGTCAGGATCATGATGGTCGCACGGTTTAACCTCTATGCTCAGTCCCTCATCCAGCTCTTTGCGAAGGAGTTTGAGCTTCCTGCTGCTCCAGCGTAGCAGCCACAATAGCTTCAGAACAACATTTGGCATCCACCCTAGATATTCGGTAGTTTTCTAAAATAGGGGGACGCGAATATAGACCCAAAAACATTTTAGTCCTTATCATAGGCAACCCCCAAGGTCCCCCCTAGTTTTGGGAAGCCCTCATTTACGCACCAGTTACCATGGTAAGTAGATCTCACAGGGCTCCTGTAGACTCTTTTGCCGCCAGGAGCCTTTGCACTATAGTGGCCTGGATGCACCAAGTCCTGAATATACAGTATTGGGGATATAATGGGATAATGGAAAAGAAAATGGACACTACTGTTTAGGGTGTTGGGTTTGGTGGTTTAGGATTTAAGGTTTAGGTCTTTTTTAGATTCTGGGCTTTAGGGCTTAGAGTCGAGGGTCGCAGACTTCTCTGGGCTAGGTTTGAACACACTTTTACTTTCTTCTTAACGGGTAATCAAATCCCTATATGATCTTATATAGCTATAAGGATTTAAAAGCATTATAGGGCCCCGAAACCTACCCTACTTCTGGGTAAACACCAAACCTCGAAGCCGAGGAAAGACGGAACTCTGCGCCTTTGCCATTTATTTCTGCTGGATAGCAAACCTTGTCTTGTCGCTGCCAAGCTGGTCGGAGACGCGCCTGGCCTCCGTTGGTTGTATTGGGGTTTTATAAGGATAATGGAAGATAAAATGGAAACCACTATACTGGGTTATATAGGGTACATATGAGGGTTATATTGGGATTATGTAGGGATAATGGAAAATGAACATGGAAGCTACTATTTAGGGTTTGGGAGTTTCCTTTCCTTGGGTGTTGAGGTCTTGGAATTTAGGGTTGGGGTGGAAGTTTCATGTCCTTGCGGTGTTCAGGTTTTGAGATTAAGGGTTGGAGTGGAAACCTCCTCGGTTCTCTGGGGTGTAAGGCATCCTTAAAATCTCCTGTTATAGGGAATGAGGGAATGGATCCCAATAGTAATGCTCAGCATCATCCCTGTTTTACCGCTAACAAAGCCTTTCTTCATCTTGTCCTGGCAAGAGGCAAATAGGGCAACTGCAGAGGAGTGGATGGAAGATAACTGTAGGAGCTTAAGTAACTGCGACAATAGCATCCTGTCAAAACAATCGCGGCTACAATGCTACAAGGTTGGTGAACTACCTCGGAGCCACTAAACCGTAACCTCCTGAGCCCGAAGCACTCTTGCAACATTTTGGCCTTGTACACCTCAGCCCAGGTGAGTAGTATTTTATTTGGGGATACTAGGGTAACCAATATAGAGTAAGATTATATGCTCCTTTTGGGGTATAGTATTTTATATAAGGAATATTATCTTACTAGGTTCAACCACCAAAAAAACACTACTCAGGTTTGGCTGGCTCCTTGTGAGCCATGCAGTGTCTGGCCTGTTACACGTCAGCGCCCCAGGGTGTAGCAGCAGCTGTGTGACAGTTTGCACATCACCGGAGTCTTACGGTACCACAGCGTCAGGCATGTAGCAGCGGACCCCCTTTGAATTGCTGAATATATAGTAGTTTCCAGTTTCTTTTCCAGTATCCCAATATAACCCCTACATAATCCCTATTTCCTTATATAAGCCCATGATACTAGTTTCCATTCTATGTTCCACTACCCCCATATATCCCCACTACAGCCTCTTTCGACCGCTGGAAGCAACTTGGAGGTTCAGATCTGCTGCTCCCATTTCTCCATGGAAACGTACCATGGCCACGTGCACTACTCAGTGGCAGGGCTCTCTACACAAAATATAGGGAAAATGGAAAAGAAAATGGGCACTACTATGGTACAGGGGTTATATATATATGGGTCAAGGAGAAGAACATGGGAACTACTGTATTATATAGGGGTCATAAAGGGATAATGGAAAGAACATGGAAACAACTATATCATATAAAGTGACAAGCATACAGCCGAAGAGGACTGTAAGTGTCGGTGCCTATGCGTAATTCCTTTGTGATGAGACCATGACAGGCCTACAACGGTGCGGATGACGAGTGGTACATCACACAGCTCAAGACAACCATGAACTTTGACACGCCGCCAGTGTAACTCTTCTGCACATGGCATTTCTCAGATTAATGGCCCGTTACTTATCACGAGTACGATGCTTGCTTTGGCCTCCAATTTTGAGGCACAAGTCGGGATGGTTTCCCAGAGACCCTGTCCCCTCACCTGGTACGTTTGGTATGTGTATGTGTCTATATAATTCTCTATATATATATATATACATACGCAGTCATAATGCAGGGAGCTTCATGTTAAGAACGCGAGCGAGAGAGGTTGGACTGGGTGCACATTGGCCTCCAGTTTCAGATCGAGCACCATCTTTTTCCTCGTCTACCTCGGCACAATCTCCGCCTCTCAGCCAGTATCCTTGGAACTAGGGGTTTATGGTTTAGGGTTCAGGGTATACCACCGTTCTATATTAGGGGGAATATTCATTATTAGGGGGTTGGGGTGGGGTTGATGGTTCTGCAGGTGAACGGTTTCGTCTAGACTAGATGGTTTCAGGAGGCCTCACGAACCCGGCCCCTTTGTGAGGTGGTTAAATGTGTGGGTTTTGCCACAACGAGAGGCACCCTTGCTGCAGTTCTCCATAAACATCTTATTTGGGCCTATCTGGGGGTTCCCGTGTTATGGAAACCACCATGTCGCGGATCCCATTGTTGTGAGCATATGCAGGGGCTCCTTTTTTGGCACCCATGGGGACTTGAGGCGGACATCTCCCCAATTGGTCGGGACTGTGGCTCACCTCCCCTAGTTGGGGGTTTCCAAAAATTCGCAGACCCTTTTGGGTTACACATATAATGAGAATTATATCATATTGGGGTCTAAAGGGCTCCCCAGATGTGTAGAAAGCTCTGATTTCATTTATTCCAGACTATGTTCAGGCGCCGCTCACAGCCAACGCCCTTCATGCGTTTGGAGTTTGATTTCGGGCCTTTTTTTCAGGTCCAGGGATCCCAAAATGTGATTTCTCGGCAGATTGAGCAGAGCAGGAAAACAAGACCCTTTTTCCCTTGTAAGATTATTTAGGAACACTATGTCTCCTAAACCCTTAAACCCAAAACCCTGAAACCCTGAACTCTCAAACCCCTAAACCCCAAAACCCTAAAACCCTTAACTCTCAAACCCTACACCCCCCAACCCTAAAACCTTTAACTCTCAAACCCCAAAACCCTAAAACCCTTAACTCTCAAACCCTAAACCCCCCAACCCTAAAACCCTTAACTTTCAAACCCTAAACCCCAAAACCCTAAAACCCTTAACTCTCAAACCCTAAACCCCTGAACCCGAGACCAGCGAGGCGAAGCTCGGAAACTTGTGAAAGAGGTGTGCAAGAAGCACAACATTCACTACCACGAGCCAGGTTTCTTCCAGGCCTTGGGCTTAGGGGTTAGGGGCTTAGGGGTTTAGGGTTTAGGGTTTTAGGGGTTCAAGGGTTTAGGGGTTTAGGGGTTAGGAATCATGGAGAATTGAAATGGAAACTACTAAGGGTTTATATTGGGGTTAAATTGGGATAATGGAGAACAAAATGGAAAGTGCTAGTTAGGGTTCAGGGTTAAGGCTTTTTAGTGCTTTCAGGCTTTCAAGTGTTTTAAGGGCTTTTAGGATTTTTTTGTCGTGATATTTTTTTTTTTTTTTTTTTTTT